TTCCAGTCAAATGTGATATATCATTACACCTAATGATATTTAATTATGTGAGAAATAAAAAATAAATAAACATTAGCATACACCACTGTTTATGCACACAGCTACAATGTTTAACTATGCGTTTTCGATCAGAATGCAAAATGACAATTCTGAGAAATCGTGGATTTCTATGTACATGCGATACGATGAAACAACATGCCAACTTAACATCGTACTTTTCAGTAAGATCCACTAGTTCTTGTAGGTCTGCCTGAAGCGTCACACAAATCGCTCTGATCTGCCGCCCGATCCAAGCTTCTATTAGCATCCTGCACCTGCTTCAGCTATCAATATAATGTGCACATTAATGACTATGTTAAACATCTTAATAAATTTATATTGTAGCTTGATACAATACCAATATAGCATATTGACAAGTAGAGAGGGCCACGATGCAGAGCTCAACTGTCGCAAAGAGTGCCCTGAGTAATTCAAATGTCGAGATTCGTTATTTTATGAAAATAAAAATGATGGTAAAATAGTGCTGAGAGGGTCCATGTCCCCCAGGGTACTATCGGAGGGTACCCTGGGTACGGTTTCAATATATCAGAACGTACCCTGGTACTATCTATATGCCGGACCGTACCTCGCTACTCCACTAACGAGGTCTAGGGGGTCGCCTACGCCTACTCCCTAACCCTAACTCTAACCATATCAGATAGTTACCAGGGTACGTTCCGATATATCGACATACCCAGGGTTACCAATACGATAGTATCCCCCCCCCCATGTTGCGCCACGTTTAAATTATTTCCGCTCTGATTTTTTTTTTTTTTTAATGGGAATGGCTACATGAGGAACAGGCTGAGTGAGTCAGCTTTGGAGGCGCTGCTGCTACTGGCAATTGAGGGGCCACCTCGGCAAGAATTCCCATTCGACCCACTGGCAACAAGAACAAGTCCGCACCTGCAGCTACAGTACACACGCATCTATTGACTATATATAACAACGTTATATATAGTTGTTATAGTAGTTATAGTTGTTATAGTAGCTATAGTTGTTATAGTAGCTATAGTTGTTATATATAACTATATATAATGTTGTTATATATAACTATATATAATGTTGTTATATATAGTCAATAGATGCGTGTGTGTTGTAGCTGCAGGTGCGAACTTGTTCTTGCTGCCAGTGATTCGACCAGGCCCCCGGCCCCCCCTTTCATGACCTATCTTTCATGACAAAACTAATATTACAATCTTTTTTGATCGCTTAATTTGTTACTTGACAACAACAATGTTTTTGTCCACAACCAACCCAATCCGCCCACCCCTCCACGTGCAAAAATACATAGTTCCCGCTCACTGGCGCTGGAGCCCCGCCAAAAATAGCCGTTTGAAGTTCGCAAATCGAATGTTCGTTTACCAGAATTACCGCAAGTAGACCATTTCAACGATAGTTAGAGGTTAAATTTTAGTAGCAGATATAACTTAAAGCATATTCACTTCCAATTAGAGGCATTAATTGCCTACCACAGACGTTTTATAGTCGCGAATTAGCGCGACTAAGTTGGTCCCGCGCATCCCTAATGACTGGTTCTATAGCCCAGCGGCAACTGTACGCGGGCTATAGTTACTAGAGCTACACGAAGTGATGCACAGATTTCTGTGTATCATCAACTGATGCACAGACTTTCCATATATCAAAGAATGATGCAAAAACCCTAACCCTAACCCTAAGTCATAAAGTATAACCTTAGGTATCACGAAGTGTGTTAGGGTTAGGGTTAGGGTTAGAATTTTTGCATCATTCCTTGATATACGGAAAGTCTGTGCATCACTTCGTGATACCTAAGCCTAAGGTGCCTAAAGTGGATTTGCACCGGGACATAGACTCTATCAGTATCGCTTATAGAGCCTATGCCCCCCAGGGTACTGCCGGAACGTACCCTGGTAACTATTTGATATGGTTAGGGTTAGAGTTAGGGTTGGGGTTGGGGTTAGGGTTAGGGAGTAGGCGTAGGCGACTCCCAAGACTCGTTAGTGGAGTAGGCGAGGTACGGTCCGGCAGATAGTACTACTACAAGTACAAGGGTACGTTCCGGTATACCACTACCAGACCGTACCAAGGGTACGTTCCGGTATACCGGACCGTACCCAGGGTACGTTCCGCCAGTACCCTGGGGGACATAGACCCTCTCAGCATCAGTATCAGCTATATTTATTATTAATATGATCCCTACCCTAGCTCAGTGGCTGTTATAGTACTTAAGTTATAATAATATTATTAT